GGCTTGTTTCTCACTCCTGGTGTGGGTGATCCTGCTTTTTTTTGTACACAGCGGGGGTTATCAGTGGTCTGGTTTCATCCCCAAAAACGCCAGCGATGTACACAAGGATGCACACGACTAGGGAACAGCAGCTCGAAGCTGTGCTCCACGGGGCCAGCGAGGAGCTAACAGGTCCTGAGGTTTGTAACCCCCTTTTTAGGGAACTGTTAGGATGAATTTGTGCAGATTTATACAATTACCTATGAGGCCTGGGACTGGTCGCCTGCATTTATTAAGTTACTGTCTTCACTCAGTGTCCCGGTATGTCCATCACCACCAACCTTACATCAAATCTTAAAGCCCCGACAAGAGCGGTGTCGCTGAGAACATGAACCATTTCCATCAGCGTCACCTGGAGCAGCCGGATCTGACACAAAAAAGCATAATTCTCCTTTTATTCCTTAACTCTCCCGTATACGGCACACCTCTCTGGGCACTTTTTCCCCACGAAGAGTGCTGCAAGAAGGGTTTTGCTACAGAACCCTCTGCAAAAAGCCACACCGGGCAAAGGCGCTCCGGTATTAAATTCTGCCTCAGCTCCCCCAGTGAACTTTTCTTTCCCAACATATATATATTTTTTTTTAAGCACTTCAATATCAGCTATCACAAATAAATTCCAGTTTCAGACAAAGCGATGCTCTGCCCTTACTACCACAAGCAGCACTGCAACAGGTTCTCCCCTTCAGCAAAACCACCCCTTATTTTTCCTAGATCAGTGGGAGACTTTGTATTCGAGAACCCCCCCTAAAACAAAATACCTTCCAGACCAAATATAGCACCGAATTGGCAAGATTCGGTCTTTTTGACCCCATTTTTAACCCCTTCTCAAATAACCAGAGAAAGGGGCTGGCTGAACTCTCACTATTTGATCCCGAAACAGGAAATATTTTCTCCACTCAGTTTACACAAAGCAGAATAGACCAGCAGAGATTCCCATGTTGTTTTTTTTTTTTGGTTTTTTTTTTTTTTTTCATCCTGCCACTGAGTTGCCAAAATGTCTCCGGCTATTTGTGTCTCAAAGTTAAAAGAATCAACATATAAATATTTGGAATAGCTTGTCTAGGAGGGACTAACACTTCCAGCCTGGCAAAGCACTCCTGCCTGTACTTAGCATTAAGGATGTTAGTGGTTTACGGGCATGATTCAGCGGCTGCGGTGTGGCTGGAGATCAGCATCTTCCAGGACCAAAGCTTTAAATATAGAAATATTATTTAATTTTAAATAGCAAGAAAAGTTTTCCACGCTTCCAGATGTACATAAGCCATATATATCAGCCCAGAGGTGCCCAAATATTAAAGAATTATGCTATTACATAGCTGTTTGCTTGTGCGTCTATCTTCCCCTATATATCCTATATGTTTGCTAAGCTCCTTTCGTGCATATTAACACAAAAAAATGCAAATTAACAGCAACGAGGGCAGGTCCTTCTCGGTTACTGGGGGGCTGCAGGAAGCCTGGACCGAGGTTTGGCCACACCAGGCAGGGCCCAGCGGGTTTCCCCTGCGGGTTTGCTTTGGCGTCAGGCCGTTCCCTGCACATTTCCCAATTTGAGGAGGTTTTACATCCTTTATTTGCGGCATTATTTTTATTTTTTTTTTTTTTTTGGCAATTTTAACTGCAAGGTCTGCTCAGCCAGAGGTAGGGAGACCCTAACAGGGTACTGACAGCCGAAGGCCCAATGCTGACAGCATCCAAATTTTAACCGGCACATTCAGCTGGCCTCTGGCCCACCTCGCGGTGAGCTCTGCCGCAGCGACCACACATGCGGAGTATGCAGCGGAACATGCCTGCTGGGAAGAGTGAAGCTGAGAAGTGCCCCCTTCTCCATGTCCTGTCTGCCTCTGGAACCTCCAGGAGAGGGTATCACCCCGCAGAGGGTGCAAACCCCCCCCCACAACCACCCATGCAGCACCCCAGATGCGACGCAATTCCCCACCCTCCCCCGTGCAACTGGGCATGCAAAACCCCACGTGCAAAAAAAAAAACTCACGCGCGGTTCCCCATCCAACGAGACACAGGAAAACTCGGTGCAAACTCCCGCCATGCAACTGGGCCGTGCGACACCCACTGTGCAACTCCGCTTGCAGTCCGCCACGCAACCAGGCATGCGAAACCCTGCGTGCGACCCCTCGGGTGAGTTCCCACGTGCAAATTCCCACCTGCACCCTCCCCGTGCAACCAGGCGTACAACCCCCCCCTTGCAAAGCAGTGCAGGGAGCCTCATCCCCATGCAAAAACAGTTGTGCAAACCCCCACCTGCAGCCCCCCCCAGGGAAATGGGGTGTGCAAACCCCCTCCCGAAGAACCCTGTAGGAGGAATCTGGGGGTGCAACCCCCCCCCCCCACCCCCCC